AAATGAAAGATGTAATTAAAAATCTATCAATAAAGAAAAGGCCAGGTCCTGAGAGATTCACTGGTGAATTCTACAAGAAATTTAGAGAAGCTCTAATCCCACTACTTCTCAAACTCTTTAATGAAATTGAAAGGGAAAGAAACTCCCAAGCTCATTCCTGAAAGCAAGCATTACCCTGATACTAAAACCTGAGAGGGATATAACCAAAAAAAGAGTGCTACAGGTCAGTCTCCCCAATGAATATGGATGCAAAAATCCTTAATCAGATACTGGCAAACAGAATGCAGCAAGTCATCAAGAAGATTATACACCATGACAAAGTAGGATTCATCTCAGGGATGCAGGGATGGCTCAGCATATGCAAATCAATAAATGTAATACACTATATTAACAGAAACAAGAACAAAAACCACATGATCATCTCAATAGACACAGAAAAAGCATTTGACAAAGTACAACATCCATTCATGATTAAAACCCTTCAGAAAATGGAAATATATGGTCTTTATCTCAATCTGATAAAAGCCATCTATGACAAATCAATGGCTAACATCATACTAAATGATCAAAAAATGAAAGCTTTCATTCAAAATCAGGTACAAGGCAATGATGTCCACTATCACCACACCTATTCAATATAGTTCTGGAAACATTAGCCAGAGCAACTAAACAAGAGAAAGAAATGAAAGGAATAAGGATAGCAAAGGAAGAAGTTAAATTATCATCATTTGCTGATGACATGATACTGTACATAAAAGACCCAAAAAATGGTACCAAAAGACTTCTAGATTTAATATCCAAATTCAGTAGCATAGCTGGCTACAAAGTCAACACTCAAAACTCAATATCATTTCTGTACAAAATAACAAACTCACTGCAACCTAAGTGGGTATCCAAAAAATGAAAACATCCAAAAAAAAATGAAAGCATCCAAAAAAATGAAACACTTAGGAATCAATTTAATGAAGGAAGTAAAGGATTTTTACATTGAAAACTACAGTCCTCTGATAAAAAGAGATCAAAGAAGATATCTGAAAATGGAAATATATCCTTTGCTCTTCGGTAGGAAGAACCAATATGGTGCAAATGGCCATACTCCCAAAATTGTTATACAGATTTAATGCAATCTCAATGAAAATACCAATAACATACCTCACAGAGTTAGAGAAAACAATCCTAAAATTCATTTGGAACCAGAGGAGACCTAAAAGAGCAAAAGTAATTCTGTGCAACAAAGGCAAGGCAGGGGGCATCATAATCCCTGACTTGAAATTATACTTCAAAGCTACAGCAATAAAAACAGCATGGTACTGACAAACAAACAAAAAACAGACCTGAGGATCGATGGAACAGACTAGAAGATGCAGCAGCAATTCCACCTTATCTTTGACAAAGTGGCTTGGGCCAGGGATTTAGCTCAGTGGTTCCACCGCTTCCCTTGCAAGCGCAAGGACCCGAGTTCGATCCCTGGTACCAAAAAAAACAAAAACAAAAACAAAAAAAGACAAAGTGGCCAACACCTTCACTGCAAGAAAAATAGCCTCTTCAATAAATGATGCTAGGAAAACTGGCTTTTCCACATGCCAAAGAGTAAACCTAGGCCCTCATCTCTCACCATGCAAACTAAAATCAAAATGGATCAAAGATCTGAATATTAAAACAGAAACATTAAATCTGCTGGAAGGTAGAAATCTTGAAAACATAGGTGCAGGCAAAGACTTTATGAACAAAACCCCAATCACACAGGAAATATCACAAAGAAGAAACAACTAGGATCTCATTAAAAGGCTTTTTCACAGCAAAAGAAACCACCAATAGAGTGAAGAGACAACCAACAGAATGGAAAAAATATTTACCAGCTACTCCTTAAAAGACTAATATCTAGAATATATAAAGAACTCAAAAAATCAGACCCCCCCCCAAATTTAAAGACCCAATCCAAAAATGGGCATCTGAAGTGAACAGACATTTCTCAGATGAAGAAGTAGAAACAGTAAATAAATATACAAAAAAATGTTCAACATCACTGGTCATTTGAGAGTTGCAAATTAAAACAACACTGAAATTCCATCTCCAGAAAGACTAGCTATCATCAAGAAATCGATCAATAGCAAATGCTGGTGGGGCTGTGAGGCAAAAGGAACCCTTCTCCTCTGAACTGTATTTTTTTTTTCTTTTTTTGGAACCAGTGATTGAACTCAGGTCCTTGTGCTTGCAGGGCAGGCAGTGGAACCACTGAGATAAATCTCTGCCCCCCCCCCTTCTCCTCTGTTAATGGGAGTTTAGACTGGTGCAATCACTGTAGAAATCAGTATGGAGATTCCTCAAAAAACTAAAACTAGGGATTCCATTTGATCCAGATATTCCTCTTCTTGGTATCTTCCCAAAAGAATTTAAAGTATCATACCACAGTGATATATGCACACCCATATTTATAGCAGCACAATTTGTAGTAGCTAAATCTTGAAAACAGCCCAAATGCCCATCAACTGATGAATGGATAAAGATGATATGGTTCTCTTTTTTAAAAAAATAAAATGTAGTACTACTCTGTCATAAAGAAGGACAAACTTGAGACATTTCTGGGTAAATGGATGCACTTTGAGACCATACTGTTAAGTGAAATAAACCAGACACACATGTTCAAATATTGCATGGCTTCTCTTGTGTGAGAAACCAAAAGTGTAAATACGGACAAAAATGTTTAATAGATATTGTGAAATAGGAAGAAAATATTCAAATGGGAAGGGGAACTAAGGAGGGGAGAGGGGGAAAAGAAAGAAGGAAAAAGGATGAAATATAGAAAGAAAATAAAAACAAAACTTTTGTAAATAAGGAGGGGAAGAAGGGTTGAAGGGAGGCGAAGGAAAGGGGCAAAAAAGAAGAATCAAGACATATCACATACAGGTACAAATATGATGAATGTTATCATTATATATACCTAAAATGTACCAATAAAATTAATTTAGAAAAAAAGAAGTTATGTACTAAAGAACAGATCACCAAAAGTATATGACACAAAAACTGACAGAAATGAAAGGAGAAATAGATAATTGAAAATAGCTAGGAACCATATTATCCCATGTTCGGTCATAGAGCAAACAACGAAATGGAAAATCAGCAAGAAAATGGAAGGCTTAACATTATCAACCACTTAGATCTGACAGAAACTTAGAGATCTATCTATGCAAAACAGCGGAATACACATTCTTCTCATAAGCATATGAAATATTCTTCAGGAGAGACTTTATGCTATCTTATAAAAAAGCTTTAAAAAATTGAAAGGAATTTAAATCACAAAGTATTTTCTCCAACCACAGTGAAATAAAACCAAAAACAGTAACAGAAGGAAATTTGGGAAATACACAAATATGCAGAAATTAAACAACACATGCCTAAGTAAGCAATGGGCCAAAGAAGAAATACAAGGCAAATTAGAAAAATAGAAAGAAGAAAAGCAAAAAGACAGCATTTTGAAATTTATGGGACGTGTGGAGAGGAGTTTATAGTTGTAATTATCTATATTAGAAAAGAAGAGATATCTCTAATACATAACCTGACATTTCACTTTAACAAACTAGAAAAATAAGAGCAGTCTAAACATGAATCAAGCACGAGGACAGAAATAATATGATTAAAATGTAAACAGAGTACAGAAAACTAATAGAAAAAAAATTAGCAAAACCAATGGTTGGTTCTCTGAAAAGATTAACAAAATTGACTTTTAGCTAGACTGACAAAAAAAAGGTTTTTAAAAAGATTTTTTAGATTTAAGGTACAACTCTCAGAAGTTATAGAGGGAATATCATTACCAGATTCACTGAAAGCAGAGGGATTATGAAAGAATCCTATGAACAATTCATGGCAACAGACTGGCTAACCTGGATGAAATAGACAAGTTTCTAAAGAGATATAGATTACCAAAACTAACTCAAGAAGAAATAGAAGCTGGGTGTGTTGTTGCACACTTATGACCACAGCACTGTGAGAGGCGGAGGCAGGAGGATTGCAAATTCAAATCTAGGCTGGACAATTTAGCTATGTAATGTGAACCTATCTGAAAAA